ACAGGAGCTTGAAAAATTGTCACATCCAAATATGTGTAACAGTGAATTCTGAGGTGGAGATGATGTTGATAGTGAGATGCTGGTAGACAGAAGAGACACCTATATTTATAGACTTGCTGTGTTATGAAAATTGGTGGTTCTGTTTTCCTTGTGCAGAAGACTTAATTTTTCACTTCACACTCAAAAGCCTCAAGTACAGATTACATTTTCTACTTAGTAAGTAAACATTTGTTGAGTGTTTCTCCCAGGTCATCTATAAAGCCACGTGTAGACATTGAACAATCTAATTTTGTCTTGACCACAGAGTACCACTGGCTCCTGACAAATTTCCATGATTCTGTTCTCTGAAGAAAATCCAATAGTCATGGAAAGATTTGTGGTGCTGTAATTACCTAAAGGTCCTTTCACCTTTCCTTTCCTTTTTAGCTTTCCTTTCCTTTCAGGACTAGTAAAGGTCTCTGTGTAAATGGTGCCATTTTCTATTTTTTCTGGCGATACCACTCCCCTCTAAGTGTGGCCACAGTAGTTTTAAAATTATGTACCAAGAATAAAGATGCAGCTGTTGTTTTAGATTAGCTAAAACAAAACAAACAAATTCCTTCCCACAATGTAAGATCCCTGTACAGAAGGAGGGACCTAAGATATCAATTCAGACATTCCTGTCACTCTTCCCTTTACTACCTGTGGAGTTTTAAGCAAGTTACATGTCTAAGTCTCAGTTTCCTCAAAAATATAAAATAATCATTTTACCTACTCATGGAAGAACAAATGGAACTAAATTCACTTGACAGATCAATAAATGTTAGTCTTACTTTTCTGTCCCACTCATTTTGATTAAAGAAAACATAGCCCTTGCCTACTCCAATCTGGTAACAATTTCCAAACTGACTCAAAATTTGTTGTACCTTTTATAATTTAGCATATGACTATCAAGATGTGTATCTATACACAAGGATTCTGTATGAATACAATTAATTTCCACTCTTAAAATTTAAACAAAATGTTCAACTATATTATTCTAAGCAAAATATAGAGAGAAATTGATGAGTTAGATGTAATTTTATAAAATATATTTATGCAAATAAACTCTCTATTTTTTTCTTTATTAAGAGGGTGTTTAATGATGCATTCCATTGCATCCTTTAGAAAAGCATGACAGGGTTCCCATGTTCTCCACTATAATTCTCTTGACTTAAGATTTATACATGACCCAAGGAATAAATCTTACAGTCTTGACCCCTGCTGAAGAGTCTCCAAGGACAGTCGAGAACAGTTTTATCCTAAACACTAATTCTCCCACTGCTTTCCCTGCAGCTTGGAATGGATAGAAAATGAAATCCAAACCTCTATATTCTCCAGGTTTCAGCCCCAGAAAACAGCCAGATAATGCAAAACAAACAAAAAAAGTTACAAAAACACAAAACCAATTGCCCACAATGTAAGTTAACTATTTAACAGAAGTCTAACAAAAAAAATGAAGAGCAACGACAAAAAAAGTCCCAATATTTTCTTGAAAAACTAAAAGCTATTAAGAATAAAGTAAAACTAGTGGAAGTTGGCAATGGCTGAGTTAGATATATCTCTCCCACAGGTCAAAATTCAATAATAAAAATAAGAATGATAACAAATATTATATTTAGATAACACTTGCTAAATGTTTAACTAGCTTTTTGTATATATCTCAGTTTTATTTAATAATTATTGTTCTCAAAATCATGGTGTAGTGAAACTAATTGTCCTTGTCATCAATAATGTGCAAGTTTATGTTGCCCCTGCTAATTACTAAAGAGAAATTTATTAAATTAAAAATCATATTAAATTATGAAAATGGGATTTTAAAGGCACCCATGCAAGTCACTAGAAGTAGCAAATAATAATAATATGAAAAATAAGAAAATAATAACAATACCTTCACATCAGTGAAGAATTTTTTAAATTAGTTTTTAATTACATTCCAGAGCTCCATAACAAGTTTCAGGAATAAAATTCATCATTATTGCAGTTTTTTAATGCACAAAATAGAATTTTCTTAATGGCAATGTGATAGAAGTGAAGAAATAACTATTTTTTAAAATCACAGAAAACATATAAAAATAAGAGTTTTCGAAAGTGAGAGAGAGTAAATAAATTGAAATAACATAATTTCTTCAATTTCCTTTGTTTCATGCAAATAGTTCTAAATATCTGCTTCTATTTCTAGTGTAGAGCTTTGCCTGATTTGGTGCATTGTATGATTAGTTGCTTGCAATACCAGTAAAGAGTAAACAAAGCATGACCATCTTCTTACTCAAGGGGAATGCTTTCAAGAAGGTAACAGACATCAGAGCTTTTCCACACACTTCGTATTAGCTCATTTAAAAAGTGATTATTTTACCTAGGAAATAGTTATTCATATAGCACATGATTCTTTTAGCTAGGAAAATACAATATTTTTGGCATATGATATGTATGTGCATTATTTTTCTATGCCATTATTTTTTATTCTAAAGGCATCATTTGTTTGCCTAAATACCGCATCTCTTTGAAACAGTAGACTTTCATAAAAATTAGAGAAAATAAACAAAATAAATAAATAAAATAAATAATTTTTTAAAAAGACAGTGTATCTTTTGTGGTTAATATAAAGAGTGCCTTTATTAATTATGTATTTGAAACTTCCTTCCTCATACATAACCTACTTCATGCAAACTAAGAAAAAAAATCAGTGTGCTACTTGCTTGCTTTTAATCATGTAAGGGTAAATATAAGGAAAAAAATAATGTTTATTGTGAATGATGAAAATTTCATTCAAAATTGTTTGGACAAACCACATACTCAAGAGAGGATTCCAGCTAGGGGTTGCTTTCTCTATAATGTTCAAGACTGGATCAGAAACTGTAAAATTAATTCAGTAATCTAGGATTTTTCAAAATACCCAAATGTTGGCATCCCATAGAAAAGTTCTAGGAAATTTAACAGTTGTTTTAACTTTGTGATGATTTCTTTGCCGAAATTTAAATGAAACTCTCAAAGTCAGCTAATGGTCCAATAACCAATTTAATTTATGTGTCTTCTTACTCTCACCCATCACCTCTACCACCCAGACCCTTTCTCCCTGCAGGTGTAAATAATTTGCATGATTAAGTTGATCAGATTGGGAGGCGGGGGAGGGTTTGCTTACTAAATGAAAGAACAATATTATTTTCCCATAAGAAACCAGTAGGCGGTGCTAATCTAGGATACCGCATGCAAAGATTTTAAACCAAAACACACACAGACTAGGTGACTAGGTTAAAGAGTTGTAGAATTGCCAGTATGATTCCTCAAGGAGGAAATTTCAAAAACGTTCATGTAATAGAATTTAACTTGGGTATGAAATACAATGGACTATGACTATTAAATGAAAACCTCACATGACTTAAAGATTCTTAGTATGATCTTTAGTTACAGAATTCAGAGCACAGCAACATATTTGTTCCCACATTAAAATCCAAGAACATCTTCATCTGCCTAGTTTCAATCTCCTTTGGAAACATCATAGGGTACAGATCAAGCCTGCTCCAATATTAAGACCCAATTACCCCCACCTTAGGGCAGCAACTAACATGAAAATTCTGGTTTGATTACTCAAGTTTTTTCTTTCTACTTACTCTGTTTCTCTCTTTCAAAAGAACTTAATGATTTACAATATATATAACCTGCTAAGAAATATTATACATACACATTCACTTGCCTTTTTAAATAAATGAACACTTCTATTTATATACATTATAACAGAAGTGATTAAAAAGTTGCTTTTTAAATACTTTTGCTACCTCTTAAACCACATGAAAGACTATATTTCAGTAATGTACTCTACACACACACAAATCAAAATTTAAAAATTAGTGATATATTTGTGCCAAATCTTAGAACTATACCTTTCCATGACATCAAATCTAGTAGTCCACACAGAAGACATGAGCTGTCTTCCTTATATAAATGCAACGGGACTTTCTTAACAGAGAAAAGCTACCCAGAGTACAAAAATAACTCAATTGCAAATTTCCAAAGATCACTGAGAATGCACTGTGAATTTTTTAAAAAGCTTTCTAGACATTGAAATAAATTTTAATCTTCTACAGACAAATGATCATTTGTACTCCTAATTCTTTCACCACAAAGAGTAAATAAATATGGGCATAAAACTTTTCATTCCAGCAGCTGAGGTGACAGACTTAGAGAAACATTTGTTCTAAAAGCCATAGTGTAAGTAATTAACCCATTTGTTATGGGCCCTTTTGTATGCTGGAATTTGTTTTGTAAGAAAACTTAATTTTAGAAGTATTTGCTTTATATTTACTTTAATAGAATTCAAATTATATACATATGACAAATTTAAGGCTGAACTTTTCATTTAAGAAAAAAAAAATCAAAGCCTCTAAATCAAATTACTTAAATAATAGTTACCCTCCAGATTTCGAGATTTAAAGTATGACAAGAAATTTGTTTGGACAGCAAGTTTTCCAGCAGATTCTGTCACTATGTTTAAGTACAGAAAAGGCTTTTTATTACCAACTGGTGCATCTCCAAAAAGCAGTGCTAAATGATACTGGAAATATGTAACAGGACAATCATAACACATCTTAAACTCCACAGAATACCGTCAACACAGTACTGTAATGTTACCAATACACCGGAATCAATCACACCATAACCAACCCCTACCCCTTGCCCTGTGATCAGTTCTCAGGGGGAAACCTCAGGTGGTTAAAAATGAGGGGAAAAACACTGTCCCTTTAAAACTTAAATAAAAGGCTATTTTGTACCTTAGGGGTGTAGTCTCATTAATGCAAACTAACAGTTACGTTCTCAATATTAAACCCAACTGACCACCACAGAAACTATTTCCCCAACCCCTGGAAGACGCCAGCGAGCACTTAAAACCAAAGCAACACAAAAGGGAAAGAAAGATCCAAAGACAACACCACTAAGAAAGCAAAACCCTTTGGAACAAGCAAAACGGGCCGGGAAAGACCTACTGCGTTGTTTACTCGTGGCAAAGAGGAGGAGCAGGAGTTGAGCGTGCGGGGGCTGGTGCCATCCTCGGGGATCTGGAAATGTCTCCAGCTCCCTGCCCGCATGGCCAGCAGCCAGCCCCTTTGGAAGTTGCTGCCCCTACCGCTTCTCCCCACGCCTCCCCGGTGCTCCGAGGGGCTGCCCCAGCTGACCCGTACCGCGTCCTCCGCCCTCGCCCCTCCTGCTCTGCAAGTGGCCCTCGGAGAACTTACAGGGCCCGCGTCCCCAGCCGGCGCCGCCAGCGGCGCAGACACCGCCTGCCGCGGAGATGACCTGGGCGCAGCCTGGGGAGGGACTGTATTTTGCGCACATCCAAAAACGATCCCGAAGCAGGGAACGGACTTTGGCTTTCCCTAGCTCCCGGCACGGCTTTCCCCACGGCGGGCTCGGACACTGCCCGGAGACGCGCGCGCGCACATACACACGCGCACACACACACACACACACGCACGCACAGACACACACAGCTTTCTTTGCCAGGACCAGTGTTGCCATTGCAAACCCGGGAAACGCCTCCAAAGGGACCAAGTACCTGCTCTCTGCGAGCTGCTCAGCTGTTCACTTCATCCTCCGTTGACAAGGAAACCAAACCGCACTTCATTTTTTTTTTTTTTCCAGAAAAACCTTCCACTGCCATCATTTGAAAATTGATTTACGGGGAGGGGATGGGGAGGAAGAAGGGATAATATATAGATATCAGGATATCTATCATAAAATTATCTCGGTTTTTTAAAAAATTCAAATGTGCAAAAGTCACAGTTAATATAAAGGAGGAAAAAAGTATTTTGCTTAAAAATTAGCCCAGTAACCAGCTGCAAGAAAAGTTTCATGTTATCAATGGGTGTCAAAAACAGGAGGGAAAAAAACGAAATTGTTCTCACCGGCTTCCAAAAACAGCACAAAAAAAATAGAAAATTAATTTTTTTTTTTTTGCTCATTGGTTTGCACCAGTATTGCAAAACCACAAACTTGTAAACACTGCCGTAAAATCCCACCTATACAAAAATCTTATCATAAAAAAAGAGTATGCAAAAAAAAAAGAGTTAGAAACATGCTTTTTATTTTTACAAAGGAAAAAAAATAGGCACCATACTTCACATCGCTTTTTCCATAAAACCAGTTGCATATTTTGCTGGACTTGGGAGTCGCTCCCAGCGGGCACGGTCGCCACGGACTCCCAGACACAGCGCCTTGTCTACAGAACCATCGCATGCTAGAAAAACTTGGATTCAGGAAAAGGCTCAAAACCATGCTCCTCCAGCTTTCCCAAATATAAACAATAATCAAAGAAGTGGAAAAAAAAAAAAAGAAGAAAAACAAAAACAAAAAAAAAACAAAAAAAAGGACAAAAAAAAAGAATAGGACAAGAATGTCACTGAGAAGGTACTCACCGAGCGGGAGTAAAATGTTGGAATAAAAATGAGATTTAGTATAAAATACAGTATGGCGGTGGAAGAAGGAATGAAGCGCGTTTTTTTCTCTCAGTCTCTGCCTCAGGCACTGACACGTGACTCGGAGCCAGGCTGACTTGCAGGCAGCCGGGAAGGACCGAGGCTGCGAGGGGGGAAGCCCCACGGAGCCCAACTCCGGCGGCGAGGCGGCGGCGGCGGCGGCGGCGGCGGGGAGTCCCGCGCTTGGGAGCGGCAGCACCAGTAGCGGCAGCCGCGGTAGCTGCAACGGCAGCTCCCGGCTAGGCTGCCTCCGCTGTGAGCCCAGACGAGCAGGTGCCCCTCACGCTGAGGCTGAGCACACGCACACGCACACGCAAGACAGGCAGGGCGCCGGCGAGAGGGGGAGCGGAGCGGGGTTGGGCCGGAGGCGCGCAGCTGCCGCTGCCTCTGCTGCCGCTGCCGCTATTGCTGCTGCTGTTGCTGCTGCTGCTATTGCTGCCGCCGCTGCCCCCACCGCCGCCGCCGGCTCCGGTGGGGAGCGCGTGTTCTGGGGCAGTTCTGGGCGTGCTGATCAAACGTCTCAGAGGATGTGAACAACTTGCTGCTCACCTCAAAGTTGCTGTTGCTTGCCACTTGTTTATGCATTCATCTTTTTTTTTTTTTTAATCTTAAGGTAGTTACCTGGGGAGAGATCCCACCCCTTTCTCTCCCGAAGTTTCACTGTTAAATCCCTATTCAACTCATTCATTTTTTTCCTCCCTGATTTCCCATTTCTCATCCCTCCTAAGCTGCCTTTGCCTCTGCTGTTCCCTTCCCCTAGATCTGCGCTTCCCCCTCAGGGTTCTCAGGGAACCTGGCGCAGCGCGATACTGGGGGCGTTGTCTCAGGCTAAGCCACAGTCAGTCTTTATTGCCATCAGAACGCCCAGCGTCTCTTCTGCCGCCGCCAAAGAATGTTTGCACTTTGAAATACAAAACAAAATCTCTCATTTAGGAAACCCCGTTCCGGGTTTCTTTTTGCGGGTTGCAGAGCAATGGGTGGGGGCACGGGTGTCGTTAATTTATTCATTCGTGGACCGAGCATTGTTTGTTTTGTCTGCGTGTGCGCGCGTGCTTCCAAGCCCGTCTGGAAGGCTTCGCGGGTCCATACTCCATGGCAGAGGCTCCTGCCTGACTCTTGCTCAAGTTGTGGGCTGGGGCTGGAAGTCCAAGGAGAGGTTCAAGGCAAACAAGTGAGTCCATTGTGTAAGTGCTCTCTGGGAGGGAGTGAGCACTTGGCGGTCGAGAGGGGGAGACGTGCACCAGGAGAGAGGCGGTGGCGCAGCCCTCGGGAGCCCAGGTGGCTGATCCGTTGATTCTGAAGGTGAGGGCGAAGGAGGGATTTCTCCACCTAGTAGCTGGTTTAGGGTGCCCATCGCCTGAACAAAGATTCCACCAGCCAGTTGCTGGTTGTGTTGGGATTCTTCTACTGCTGCCTGTTGAAGAATCAGCTTTCTGGGCGCCGGAACACATCTACTTTCCTCATTTTTGTGCAATACTAACATCAGGACCATTTCCCCGTGCTGCTCTGAATCTGGATTGTGTGGAATTAATTGGCATCTCTGTGTTTGAGAACGAACAATTAACACAGTTCCGCAGTTCACAGATTGCTGCCCCTGATCTTTATCTCAATGTTTCTAATGTTGACATTTAAGATAAAATGCCTCCCTCCGAGATGATCTAACCTGGACAATTCTGAAAATTAAGTACACATCCATTACAGAGAGCTTCAACTGCAAATATGTTTCTCAAACATTCTGGTCAGAATTCATTGACCAAATAAAGTATTAATCCACAATTTAAATAAAAGAGATTTTAAAATAACCATTACAATGTCATTAAACATTTATTTTGGTGAGTTGCCAACTCTACACCCACTTATTATACATACATTAGAGTAAGGATTGCTGATTAGAAATAGTTACTGAAAAAGATGAATGCATCAAGGTGGATTTGGTAACTTCAGAAGGCTTTTGGAGTTCCATTGGGAAATCATAGGATTTTAAGCTGGATAATACAGATCAAGTGTGCTTTTCACTGCAAAACATGTTGGGCTTCCTTTTTTTTAAATGAGATCTCTTCACACGTGGTCTTTTTCTTCCCTGAGTCATGAATTAATTTTGTCTGCCATTAAAACTTAGTTTGCTAAATTTTCCAATTTTTTTCTTCCATGTCAAAAAATACCTGATTCTAAAAATGTAAGAAGAAAATACTATCTCAATGCATATTTCCCATCACCTATATCACAGCAGTATTCAAATGTGAGAAACTTCATTTTAAAAAGGAGTTCTGAAACTTCAACTAGCCTGGGCAATGCCAGGGTTTTGAAAAGTTATGCAAGAAGAACTTTGAAAAACAAGCTGTTTAGAATTACACTGCAGTAATGGCCGTCAGCCAATCACAGTGATTGTCAGGCTTTTATTATTCAATAAAATGACTCCCCTTTATGTTGAATGCAGTTCTGCTGAAGAAAAAGCAAAACATCAATATCCTCCCTGTATATTTCCCATTTGCTTACATAATTACAGTGTGGTGCTCAAAATATTCCACTTATTTTATTCCCATGTGCCATTCTCACCTTTTAGGTTACATCACCTCACAAAAACTTAGATTAAAAGAACTAGTATTTACTAAGCATAGCTTCTCATTTTGTTTTTGTAACTGCTCTAGAACACTGATATTATTATACTCATTTTACAGATTAGGAAAATTAAGTCAGATAATTAAAGTAATTTTCCAAGGATCCCATGGTTAATACATATTACAGGTGAGTCTGAATCAACATTGTATCTGGTTTTACAGCTAGAATAAAATATTTCCCAAAAAAACCCATGAAAGATAGTAAGTACTTTGAAAAATTAACAAATGCATGATATTCTGAATAAACAAAGTAGATTTAAAACAAATTTGTGGGAATTGGTTGGCTATATTATTCATCACAAATAGTAGTAGTACACGTTGTTTTCATTCATTGTTTGGATTCCATAAAAAACAAGGAGAACAAACCTTCAAAAGGAGAAATTAATAACTTACTTTTTTCTTTAACAAAAATCTGTGTACAAGATTTGGTCATGTATTTTCTGGTCACATTCTCAGGAGATAAGTGTAGAAATTTCAAAAAACAAACTTGCAATTGTGAACTGTTCCTTTGATATCTATACTGAAATAAATCATGTAGGATTCATAACTAAAGAGTGTACTAGATTTAAGGTAAGACAAATAAATGATGTTTGAGGAACTCTATTTTGAAATCTAATCTACATAATCTCAACCTTTTCCCTTTAGAAAATATTGAAGATACATGAATTATATATACATATGCATATTTTACGTATAAATTTATGCTTAGAAATTACGCATTACAGCATCATGGTTTCAATGTACACTTTTATAGCCAATGGCCTCAACTCATTTTCTCTTGTTTTACTTAATAACTTTTTCACAATTTAGTGATTTTTAAATTTTGATTTTTTTTCATTGTATGTCCTATTTCTACCAATGAATATGCTTCACTTGTGCTTCTCTTTTCTTGACTGGTGTCCTTTATCTTTTCTAGTATTTCAATTGGAGTAACTATAAATACCACAACTCATGAAATAATTTGTACATATAAAGAGTGACTAGTAGATATAAAAATAAACTGTAAAGATATAACATAGCATGAGTAAAGTAAGGAAGAGCTCTCAAAATTTCCATGTAATTTCATTTTTAATACTTATTTCACTCTTCAATGTTTTATGGAATCCAAAATTTCAGATTTCAGTAAAACATGTCAACATTTCTTATGATTTATGTACTCTTATGTTTATTTTCATACAAATTAAAAATATGAAATTGCTAAGAAAATTAATTTTAAACAAATTAATGTCTTCTATTATTCTTACTTTGAATGTGTTTATTTTGCATTAAATAGATTGAGTATAGTTTTATGCTAAAGTAGCCTCTGGCAAGTGACAAGAGGGTATACACAAGAAAGCTCTGATGAGTTTTCTCATAAATACAATTTAGTCACAGAGAGGGGGAAAAAAGCAGCACATGACATGTTCAGTGTTCTGCACCATTTGTT